TATTTTCTTTGTTGGTACCCTGTCTTTCACCTCTGTTTATTGGTTCTTTCTATTGGTGTTTTTGAAAGTGTGATCTTCCCTATCTTTTTCTAAAATATCTTTAAGACATTTTGGAGATCTGGGTTTGTTGCCATGAATTTCATTAGTTGTTCTTTGTTAAGTTAGTTTTGGGGTACATCAATCTGGGTCACAGGTTGTTTTCTTTCAAAGTTTGAAATACTGTACTTCAAGCTGTCTTTGATTTGAGAGTTTTTGTGAGACATTTGCTGTGATTCTAATGGGATTTCCTTTATAGGTAATTTTTTTTCTCTGCTTTTAATATTCTGTTCTTGTACTGAATTTCTGGCATCTTGATATTTATATGCTTTGGTGTAGATTTATTCTGGACATGGTTATTTGAAGTTCCATATACATCACTTATCTTTATGTCAAATTCTTTATCCATGTTTGGGAAGTTTTCTGCTTATACTTTTGTAAATATTTTTTATTGTGTTTTTGCTATTTCTAGCTTTCCATTTAACTCCAATCAATTTTATGTTGTTTTTCTTTCATATTGCAGCTGTTCCATTGATTTTTCAGAATCTCTTGCTATTTTTAATGTATTTTTCTTTTTTTTCATTGCTAACCATGTCTTTGGAATCTAATATTATATCTTTGCTTTGTTCAATGTATTGTGTATACTTTTAATGGAATTTTTAATTGCCTTTATACAAGTTGGGATGTGTTCATGGCTTCCATTTGTTTCATATATTAGACATTTTTGGTTTGCAAGGTTTTTCTGATCATTTCTATTTTTTTAAATTGGTGTCTACCCTAGACTCATTTGGATTGTCTTTCTCTTTGATCATAATTTTTTTTAACCTGAAAGATTATTTTCTATAGCCACATCCATTTGTTTCCCACTTCTGCTATTATCATTTCAGAAAGGTCCACAGGTCCAGCCAGATAGCTCAGTGTATTAAAGGGCCTGCTTAGGAAGATGCAGGCACTGGAGTTGATCCCCAGCATGCTGTGCTGGCCCTGCCCCCTGGGTGTGCTGAGACAGCGATTGAGACTTGGTGTGGTGGCGTGCACCTGTAATCCCACTGCTTGGGAGGCTGAAAACAGGAGGATCAGTATGAGTCTAATCTCTGTAGTGAGACCCTGTACTAAATATATAAAACAGAAAGGTCCAGGGTGTGACTTCCAATTTATTTTATCTCATTGTCCTCTGGGTTTGTCCTAGGTGGCCTGGAAGTCTGGTGGTGCATTTTGCTTCTACATCTTGTCATTTTCTATTTTCTATTTTTTATTTTGTACAGTGTCACTTACAGATTTCTTATGGTAGGTAGCTTTATCTGTAGTATGAACATGTTTCATTCATTTCTTCCCTAAGAAATGTCTATCACTCAAAGATATCTTCCAGGTGTAAGTAGTTTTGGTCTTTGTGTCTATACAAAGAAAACCTACCTTCTCAATTTATTAAGGATGAGAAGTTTAAATCTAGCTCAGCAGCCGTTCTTTGGTACTAGACTATGGTGAGGGTCATTACCCCAGAAAATGACAGTGTTGTCATATGAAGGATAAAAACTGATTACAATACATATGTGTAATATCCTGGCTAAAGTAGTTCAACTAGTAATAATAATAATAGCATCAAGCATAGCCAGATCTATAGGTATATGACAAAATCCAACATATGTCAAGGATTTGTGGGGCCGGGGAGATGGCTCAATGGAATAAGCGCTTCCCTGGCAAGCGCAAGGGCCTGAGTTCAATCCCCAGTTCTGCAAAAAAAAAAAAAAAAAAAAAAAGAATTTGTATGCAATAAATTTCCCTTGTGTAGACTGATTTTACCCTGTTTGGATGGTATTTAAGAAAGACACAGAATAAAACAGAGATGAGTGAGGATAAACATAGTAACAGTAAGGCTGTAAAGCTAGGGATGATCACCCAAGTTTTGAGAGATGAGCGTGAAAGAGAAAGAATGAAAGAGAAGCCAAAAAAATATTGAAGTGAACCAGAAAGAGAAGAAACATTGTTCCCTTGCATGAAAGTATTATAGAATCATGAGAAATAGTTGAAGGAAGAGGTAAAGAAGACAAATAGGGCAAAGTAAAAATAAAGGTAAGAGATTTATCTAATCCAAAAAGGGGAGGAGGTGGAGCCCCAATCAGGCTGAGTTACTTTTCTCCTTGCTGAAACAAAATATCTGACACTCAAATTTAAAGGGGAAAATGTTTATTTATCTCACAATTTTCAGAGATTTCCATCCACAATCAACTGGCTCCAATGCAAATTGGCACATCGCAGAATGGCAACAGTAGATTGAAAAAGCAAGCAAAGAGAGGAAGAGGAGAGAGAGACAAAATTGTTATCGTATAGAGGCTATCCATCTTAGTGCAGTGTTGTATTCATACTCTTAATCCCAGCATTGCGCCTTGAATCAATCACAAACTCTACATTCACTCACCTCTGTAAAATCCTAAGGCTACATGAGGTTTTGGGAGGACATCTAGACACAAACCATAAAGCAGACCAAAATAAAAAAAAAACTAATCCAACAAAGCAAAAGAAAAACAATGAAATTCTTCTGGTGTTCATTGTACTACAGTGCAGATTCACTGTACAGTTCATTGTACAGTGCAGATCCCATGAATGTGCTTTGTAGCCATGCCAAGTTTGCAGTAGGATTTGTGCTGGGAAATGGGCAGATCTTGCCCTCTGGATGTGCATCCTGACACTGGTCTTCAGCTGACAATGTTTTGGATGTCCACTTCTTACTGTTTAAATTTTTTTTTCTTTTTTTTTTGGTGGAACCAGGGATTGAACTCAGGCCCTTGCACTTTCCAGGGAAGTGCTCATTCCACTGAGCCATCTCCCCGGCCCCCTTACTGTTCATCTTTACAGTGCTCTTCCAGTTGCTATGGCACCTTCAGATAGGGAAATCCCAGCGTTCCTCCCAGACCTATGTATAATTGGCTCCTTCTGAACCTTGTGCACCATGCTGTGTTCCACACCACTGTCTCCCCTTACATGCTGGTCATAAGGCAGGGAAAGTGCCCTTGTCTGCTGTAGGAGAAGGTTGCTTGCCTGCTTATACTACTGGGCCAAGGCCACTCTTCTGGTCACAGACCAGAAGGACATTTCCTGTCCTTTGTATTTAGGGCTAAGATGTTCTTGATGGCCACTGACATGGAGTCTGGGTGTTCTCAGCTCTTACCTATGAGTAGAATTCTCACTAGCTTGTGGCTCAACTAACAGCAGTCCACTGTGACTGATTGCTCTTCCTTCATTCTGCTCTGGGACTTTGGCAGTGTAGTGACCCAGGACTGTTCTGCTGTTGGAGGTTGCCTTAATCCCTTTGAAATAAAATGGTGGCTCTACCTGGCTGCTTCTGTTCCATGTCTGTGTGTGAAACACAGTACTGGCTCACCTCACTCACAAGCTGCTGGCTCTGCAGAGCCCCTGCTGGGACTACTCCCACCATGGCTGCTTTCTGTGCCTGCTCCCACCCTGCTGCCTTAATAACTTTTCTATGTGTGAAAATGCTTTTCACCTAAGATTTGAAGTTACATTTGTTTATTGTATTAGTCAGCTTCCTGTTTCTAGAACAAAGTACCAGAGTAAACTATTTCATAAAGAGGAAACATTTATTTAGTTTCTGATTGTACTCCATAGTTGAGTTGACCCGTGTCTTTGCGCACGTGGTGAGGGCACTGGGTATCAGTGACAGGGAGCATATAGTGAAGCAATCTTTCCATTTTTAGCTAGGAAGAAGAAAGGGCAGCTGGGCCAGAAAATCTACAGCACCTCCCAGAAGCACCACCTTAGGTACCAAGGATTCACATATGGACCTTTAGGGGACGTTACTTGTATTCAAATTATAGCACTTGGTATAAAACTTTAGACAAATACTTTCCATTTATTTTGCCTCTTTGTGTACATCACTTTGATGTGTAATTGCTCTCCTTATTTCTCTGTAAGTAATATACCTTTTTCCTCTGCCTACTTTTAAAGTTTACCTTCTTTATTATTGGATATGTATAGGCATTTCCATACGATGGGCCATGTTTCTTCACGGTCTTTCTCCCTTTTGTTTTGCTTGTTTATTTGTTCTGCTTGTTGAATTTCCTAGGATCTGTTTAACTTCTTGAATTTGTAAGTTAATAGTAATATCATGAGCAAATTATGACCTGTGGCTAAACTCAGTCCTCTGGATTTACAAGCAAAATTTCACTGGAATATTATTCATGTCTATTCCTTTACATATTATTTATGGCTGTTACAAGAGCAAAATTGAGTGGCTGAGTGGAGTAGAGATTACATGACTATCACGGCTTGAAATAGCATCTGTTCTTTCACAGAAAAAGTTTATTTTCTTGTATTTATTAGATTTTCTGGCAAGCATGAAAGTGATTGGTATATTTAAAATAGAAAGAATAATAATTTATGTTTTTAATGTTTCTGTCAATTCATTGATATGTGTCCTGGTCTAAATTCAGAGATTTTGTATCATTGAGGTTTCTTTCAAGAAAACTGCACTCTTTATTACAAGTCATTTTTGAGAAGGGTGGGAATGCAGATGTAAAGATAAAAGCATATGATATATAGCATGTGATTAGATTTGAAGTTACATAATTTTTAAATTGAAAATATTTTTATTTCTTTTAAATTACTTCTGCAAAAACACTAGAGTGTGACAGTTGAAACTTGCAAAATTTTATAATCAATATATTTAACCTTATACATTTTTATTTAGTAAATTTAAATGCTACCCTATAATAGTGTTATCCTATCAGAGTAAATGATTTCAGTATTGGCTTAGAGTTTTAGAAAAGTCAAATAATGTAATACTGTAATGTTTCAGTCATTTTTTTATAAAAGTAGAATAAAGAAATATAAGTTTTTCCATCTCCAGAAAAACATTTCAGGTTCATGACTGTGTTATACAGAGCAAGCATATTTCACGATGTTACATCAAGCTATTATTGTAACTTCCTTGCTTTGTTTTATTTTAGGTGTTCTGGATTGAATGCTTGAATGCTTTGGCCCACTCCTTTATTCTCTTCTGGTTTCCTACAAAAATGCTGGAGCATGGTAATAATGTCATAGTTTCAAATATTCATCCAGTGATGTTACTCTCACTGTCAATGCTATATGTGTGTGGCTTGCCAAAAAGAGCTAGAGGACACAAAAATTAATTTAGAAGAAGAAAAATACTTGCACTGCGTTAATACTATATATTCTTGTGGCAAACAGATTGCACTTTGAATATGTAATAGCTGATCTTTAGAACTCATTCTCTTTGCCTCTTATCAATATGAATTGAGGTCAGTGAATTTACATTAATCTCTTTTTAATTTAATCTTATTTTTAGAAGAGAATAAAAATAGCAAACACATTAGGAATCATATAGGATTTCACTAAACAAAATGATAGAAATTCAATAATGGTTGTTATATTGCATACTGTTGTCTTGAAATTAGTTGGTCAGATTACCTGAGATAAGCATGAAAAATTGGTTAAAAATTGAAATAAAAAATCAGTACAATTATACAAGCTACCCTGTGTATATATGTATATATTTCTTTTTCCCTTCTTTCTTTGCTCCTTTCCCTCATCCAAGTTGTTCCTTCCCTTTTATAGTCTTTATTGTACCTTCTAGATTTTATTTACTCTTTCAGTTTCTTGTACTAGTGAGACAGTACAATGTTAACACATGCAGGTCTAAGTTATTTCACTCAGTTGCATCCACGTAGGTATAAAAGCCTCAAGTTTATTTTTTTCATAGCCAAGTAATACTCCATTGTATAAAAATACCACACCATTTTTTTCAGTTTTTTTGTTTGTTTCCCATAATTTTATTGAGAAACAAATAGCAATGAGACAGTTTCAAACCAAATTGGTAGGACAGTTTCAATAATTAACACATTGCATACATTCTTCCTGGGGTTAATTGCTGTACAAGATGCAGACTTGACATGCTATTTACAAACACCATTAGAACAAATCCCTCTATTCATTAAGAGAATGTAACTATATATCTATCCCTAACCACTTTGTTTTTTTTTAATTTATTTATTTATTTTTATTTTTCAACAAATAATACACTGCATATATTCTTCTTAGTGGTTAATTGCTGTACAAGATGCGGACTTGTGATCCTATTTACAAACACCATTAGAACAAATCATTCTATTCATTAACAGAATGTAACTATATATCTATCCCAACCACTTTGAATACACAGATACAAAATGGACATTCATCTGTATACCCCATTTTTTCTAAGTTCCGTTATTGAATATGATAGGTGTGTAAACTCAGCAAAATATTCTAAAAGAGTCCAGTAGCCCATAATAGCATTGGGTCTTCTGTTTAACTGGCAATGTCAGAAATTATTGACCTGAGTCCCCCACAGCTCAACTTAACAGCATGGCTTTATTTCTTATAATTTCGTCTTCATACTTTTCTGCTGGATGGTTAAGACCAAGGTAAAGCAGGACCTATGCAACAAGAGTTGTAGCTTTTGGGTCTGAAAAGGTCAGTGAAATCCCCTCAGGATTTATCCCGAGATCCTGTACCTCAGATTGTAGAACCTTTGTCAGTGTCAGCCATGTTGATGAGTCATGGCCATTGCTTGGCCAATGTGCTCTCTGTGAAAGCTTGTGAGAATGTTTTCTCTCCATGTGACTCTCCTTAGGCACACTCTACATCATCGATCACTTTCCTCTTTAGCCCCATAATCTCCTTGATCAGAAAATTTGGAACACTACCGAGTTACATGATGTTACAGTTCACGTTCTCCTGTCCTGAGTCTTAATTGACCTTGGAAGGCTAGGCCAAATGTTGGCTTTCCTTGAAGCCCTCCTTTTTCTCTAATTTTGGTCTGCAAACTTAGGTTGTTAATCATCCAGGAGACAAGCTTATTGTTATTACCATACAGCCAACGCTGTTAAGCTTAACCTCACTATCTGTCTGAATATCAAACATCTTAGGCATAACATGCAACAGGCATTTTTAATCAAGTATTGATATGTTGAAGTTTAAGTCCCTATAGAATAGGATGAAAAACATTTAAAAATTAGAATATATAAAAATGGCAGAAATTTTTTTTTTTTTATTTTTTGGCTGCCTGAGAATGCCTTCAGGGCATGTTTTGGCTGACTGGAGTTGTGGGGATTGAACCACAGCAACCTGAGGCTGACTGCTTTGTTGAAGCAGCCACTTAAACAACTGAGCTAAGGGGCAGGCTCCAATCTTTTTTATGTATCAATTATTTAATTATGTTCTTAATAAGAAATTTAGAACACTAATTTATGAGGATAAATTCTATTTGTGAGAGCAAAAACACATCGCAGGTAGCTCCAGAGCTGAGGAACAGCTTTCATTTTTGCTAAAATCTGTGAATCCACCACTTTCTGATCCACCTTCACTGCTCTGAAATCTGGTATCTCTCTTTCTTGGTGTTGAAGATCTCGCCCTCCTGATGTCTGAGTTTCCAAAGCTGCTGCTTCTTGAAGTAAGCATCAGTGAGGTGTCTGGGGATTTTCACTTTGCTGATATCAATTTTTGTAGAGGTGGCAATGACAGATTTCTGGTGTGTTCTTCATGGAGGAACACGATTAAGGCTAAGAGGCCCAGCCACAAGTAGCAAACCACTGGCCAACTGCTTCAGGATGACCAGTCTCTTGCCTCTGTGATGCCCAGTGAGGATGATTGAGATGGTGCAGGTAGAGATGCTAGCTCAAAGTTTCCTCAGATGCTGACTGAAGGGTTTCTTGCTGTGGCTCAAGAGATTTCAGGGCACATCTTCAGTAGGGTAGTATCTAGGAATTTTTCAAAACTTAACCAGCTGGGTACCACCATTCTCTTCCCCACTGATTGGTTTTATGATCATAGCAAGAATTTTCTCCTTATTTTTCTTCCCAACCTTTGATTTAGCAATTGTGTACTTTCTCTTGTACAAAGGCTTTCTGGAATACATAGCAGATTGAGAGTAGCTACCAATTCCTCTAACCAGGACAGGATTTGACTGCAGTGAGGCTGCCCTTTCTTGGACTTTTTTTTGCCATCACCTTACCCTTTTTACTAGTACCAATGGCAGCAGCCTTCTTGGCTTTGGTCTTCTTCTCTTTAGTGTCTGTCTTCTCAGTTTTTTCACCCACCATCTTGGAAGATGAGAAAGAGCATACCACATCTTTTTTATTCATTCATTGGTTATGGTCATTTGAGTTGGGTTTTTTTTTT